TGTATAGCAGTGTGTTAAGTACTCAGAGAAAATAAAATTCAATTCTTTGAGACAAAGCAATGACTTTTTTGCTTTCATCTCAATTGCACATAAACAATAAAAAAAAATCGCAATTCTAGGAGTACCAAGAAAAATCAGTTATACAGTTAAATGGACCAATGTAGCTCTAATACTAATTTTATATAAATTAGATGATTTAATTTTTATTTTATTCTGGATTATTCTCTACTATCTAGGGATTATTCCACATTCAGAACATTAGGTAATTACAGGCTCATATCAGTGTGTGTTAGGTCTATTGTTTTGTGAAGGTCCCTCTCACCTTTTCCTTTTGCACCTTTTCAAGAGGCAAATTTATAGCTTTTTACATGTAAGCCTAAATTGCAATTACACACACAATTCCTATATCACTGGGATGATGCACTGAAGTGCCATTTATGCCTTTAGAAATCTTCCCATTGTCTGAAACCACAGGACTGCTTGCATGCTGAATATGACCTTAACATTCCTTCTTTTTCTCTTTTCTGAGACAAAAATATCTGTTTTGCTTCATCCTTTTGCTATTGTTGTGGTCTAACCCAGCCAGCAGCTAAAACCACCACACAGCCATTCACTCATTCCCCCCAGTGGGATGGGGGAGAGAACTGAAAAGGAAAAAAACAGGTAAAACTTGTGGGTTGATATAAAGACAGTTGAATAGGACAGAAAAGGAAGAAGACAATAATAATAATAATAATAATGATAAAAATGATAAAAGAATATATAAAAACAAGTGATGCACAGCACAACTGCTCACCAACCAAAGCTGATACTCTGCTAGTTCTCAAGCTGAACTGCCTCCCAGTCTACCCCAGTTATATACGGAGTATGACATCATATGGTACGGAATATCCCTTTGGCCAGTTCGGATCAGCAGTCCCAGCTGTGACCCTTCCCAGCTTCTTGAGCACCCCCACCTTCTCATTAGCAGGGCAGTATGAGAAGCTGAAAAGTCCTTGACTGCTTGGCAACAACTAAAACATCATTGTGTTATCAACATTATTCTCATCCTAAATCCAAAACACAGCACTATACCAGGTACTAGAAAGAAAATTAACTCTATCCCTGCCAAAACCAGGACAGCTATCTTCACCATACTATCCCAAACCTGGAGGATTAATTTAGTACATGGGTAGGGCCTGACAATTTTCAAATGTTGGTCACATAGATGCACATTTCAGTCTCCATATTTAGGTGAGAGCCTGTTCTTAAACCCATTCTTAGAGCTTAGAACACAAACTTACAATCTATTTATGCATTTTTACCTGTCTCTTCAAGCTCACACAGTGCAATGCATTTAAGTGGAAGCACGTAACCTTAACTTTTTACTGACAAAGTGAATCACGCCCAGTAGTTCTCACACACTGGAACAGATGGACCTTGCACAATGGCTTTCCCTTACCATGTGAGTGACAGGGAATAGGAAATCTTATGAAGAGGTATGGAAGGAAGATCAGGAAGAAAGTGAGACCTAGTTAGCAATCACAAGCAGTTGGTAGAGACCTAGTTAGCAATCACAAGCATTTCAGCCATCTTAGAATTTTTGTTTCCCAGATGGTCCAGGTGACATATAATTAGCATCACTAAGGATTTGTATTTGGGAGCAAGGGGGAGTGTAGTCTCTTTTATCCTTCTATAACCAATACAGTTGAGGTCTTTTGCCTATAAATTCCTCTTTTCTGTCCTTCATTTTGCACACAACACAATCAATTATCTCTAGACACTAACAAAAAAAGAACAATTTATAACTCATAAAAATTAAATGTGGCATTCCATTCTTAAATAACTCTGTCTAATTTTGCACAATCAAGGTAATGATATTATTTAGGAGAATAAAATGTAAATAGAATATATAAAAATGAAGATAAGTCATAAATTTTCTTGCATCTTGGACTTTTTTAATTACAGGTCTGAGCAATCTGTAAATAAAACCCAAGCAGTATGAGAAATGGTATCTTTTCACATGTCATCAATCTGTTCTTGAATGCTGATTGCTTGTTTGTAGTCTTCTACAGCCTCTTTATTGAAACCCAATTTACCACGAATATCAGCTCTAAATTTATACATCAAGGCATCATTAGGCTGGATTGACAATGCTGTAAAAATAAGAAATAAAATGTTAGTTGTTTTTTTTTTTTCCCCAACATTATCACATGATTATAAAGAGAAGCATCATTCAAAACCTTCAGTCAGTGCTCCAATTCTTCTCCAGACATGCTCTCACAAGAGAAAACACATTACATACATTTATACCTTACATCAAGAGGTAGGAAACTTTGTTATGTTATTTATACTTCGGATTTTTTTTTCTCTTTTTGATGTCATTTATGAATCCCACTTTAATTTTGCCCCAACAGCAGGAACTATGCTTTCCTCTGAAAAACAAACAAAACCTTAGAGGACAAAACTACCACCATCCAACTTCTGGAACATGGCAAAGAACCCAATATCTTATTCAGTTTCTCCATTGTGTAAAAAGGATTTAGGTACTTGTTGGAAAGCTTAATCTGCTTGTTTTAAGTTCTGCCTTAGAGAGAATTTTTTTAAAAATCAGTCAGCTCCCTGGTCTAGTCAATTTTCACCATCCACCACTATGAACACAGTAGTCATGAAAGCCATGAAGCAGAAAAACTATTTTAACAAATTCCACTGTAAAAGTAAACTAATCTCTAAATAAATAAATGAATTAATAAAAAGATCATTACCTGCGCAATCAAGTCTTGTCAAATCAAAGTCGCATCACTAAATTTTGTTTCAATAAAATACAAACTAAACATAGGTTTAGTTACCAGAAAAAGTTTGCCTGTTTTCTAGGCACCTAGGTATCTCAACACACACACAAACTCACAAAAATTTTTCAGACTGGGTAAGTATAGCATTTTCCCATAACTTCTTGCCACAATTTCATTTAGAATGGGGCTCTGTTCAGCTGCTAAAGACAGACATTATCTGAAATATTTTATCTTGTAATTTACGTATTCTTTCCATTCTGAGAATGGAAAAAACACAATAAATTAGCATGTTTAGTTTAACTTCTTTTTAATGACATCATAATATCTGGTCAAATTAGGCAGAAAATGTACTAGCAAAAATACACACATACTTTCTGAATCATGAAATAAAGCCAAGTAATATGTTATTGTAATAGCTAGTATGCTACCAAACATAATCATGACAGATAAATAAAGATTACCTGTTGAAATATCTTTCTCAGCTAGTTCATATTGCTTCAATCCATTATAGAAATTTGCCCTGTTAAAATACACTGCTGCAGAGAATGGGCACAGACAAATTGCCTTCTCAAAGTCTTTTTTTGCTTCTTCAATATTGTTTAGTAATGTATTTGTAATAGCACGATTCATAACAGCAGATTCATTTCCTGGGTCAAGTTGTAATACCTTGGAATAATAATGATAGGCCTACAAACACATGAATTGGAGACAAAGTACACTGTTAAAAATTGAAGAAATGGCTTATGTACAACTTGTAAATTCCAGCTTGTTTCTTTAAGCTGTTAGTATTCTTACATCTTTACCTGTTTTGTTCAGTGTTCCTTGTGCACAGAAAAGACACAACATCAGCATGTTTATCCACAAATAGGTCAATCGCCACCCAGATTTTTGAAAAATAACAGCTGTTTATGCTGAATTGCAATTATAGCAGAAGAAACAAGCAATGCACTAAGGCAGATTGGAATTAACATCGAAAAAAGTTTATAATGCAACACCTATTTTTGAACTTCTTTCTTCACAATTAGTCTCAGAGAGCAAGCAGTCACAGAAACAGAGTAAAGAGGAAGAACAGCTAATGCAACACCAGTCGTGGAAGAATGATGTGAGATGCATAAGAAAATAGATTACATGATCACAGAAGAAGCCATACACAGGGCATTGACCTTAGACTCCTAAGGAATTTCTCATCCAAGTCTAACTAATACTCAAGAACAACAATGAACCTAACTCAGAAACATACAAGAACATTAAATTTTTTTCTTACATGATCTATTTCTTGTGCTATATGAAGTATAATCTAGGTTTAAAATCATATGCCAAGCCTGTACTATACGTGATGAATTCCTTAATAAGTGAACTGCAAGCTGAAGTGTTTACAGATACAACTGTAGGAGATAATTAATTCAAGTAGATGCAATGTGCTGAAGCATTCTTGCTGCTTTGCACAGCTGCTGGACCACAAAGCTCCAATCAAATAAAAGCCTGAGCCTATGCCAAGGAAATGTGACTGGAAGACCAAAGGAAAAATTGCAGGCGTTTCCTCACACAAGAAAATTAAATGGTCCTTGCCTTCAAGCAGATTTCAAATTCTCTCACAAGGGGAATTTCAGTATCCAACTCTTCTGTATTTGAAGATATCCACTGTATTTAAGCGGAATTAAGTGATTTAAAACTCCAAAGTTACTCTGGTAACAGGAGGAAGATCTGACTTCTTGATTAAAGTTCATCAGCAGGAGATTCTTTTCATTCTCCTTGTCATGGTGCTATAGTGAATCTGGGCAAGTTATTTAATGTACGGGAGTTAGGCTGGGGGAGAAGTTACTGAACTTCAGCAGGGTTTTGATATCTCAATTATTTACAAATTTTTGTGATGTGTATCCTAGCTGTCATGAATCTTAGTTCACTCATATCAATGATAAAATACATAGCAGTAGGGCAATTATTTATTATTAATTACTACAGATTAACTCATCTCCTGGTAGAGAACCATGAAATTCAAAGTAAGAAAGCTTCATGTTAATTATACTTAAAGACAGCTTTATTCCAGCAGTATTTATTCAAGGAAAATATTCTGAAGACAGTATAAAGATAGACTGTAGAGTTACCTGTGAAAACTGTCGATTATGGAAGTAGATATTTGCTGCATTGAAATAGGCTAATGCATAGTTTGGGTCAACAGAAATTGCTTGTTGATAGTCCTTCATGGCACAGGGTAGATATCCCATTAACTGGTTGATGACACCCCGATTTGTTAGCAGTGGAGCAGTGGTAGTGAGCTGAAAGGAGTATGTAGATGCATTCTTACTCAGAGAAAATTTCCACTTCTACAGTAATTTATTCTGGTTTTCAAAGATACATTTTCCTTAAAAAAATTAATTGCACCTTCTAATCCAAATTGGCAACTATTAATGTACAGTATTGGCTGGATTCATAGCAACAGGTTGATTTTAGTAAAATCACTTTAAGCTAAGATCTACCTTTAGAGCAGCATTAGTATCTTGAAATGCAGCAAAAGTTTCACCCATTTGAAGACAGACTGAAGCTCGTCCATCATATGCAGCATAGCATTTTGGATCAATGCAAATGGCAACTGTAAATTGTCTCCATGCTCTCTGAAGCTTTCCAAGGGCCTAAAATGAATTGCAATGTGTCCACAATAAGAAACATAAGAAGTGCCAAATATGCTAATGGTCCCACTTAAAAAATTGCAGCAGAGAATGGAAGCATGTCTATATGTATCTCAAATGCAGCTAACTAAATTACAGAAAAAATGAATTCAAATATTTTGTTAATTATGCAATACTCATTGTCTTTGCAACTATGTAATGTATCTGTCACAACTGTTTTAACTGCAAGTATTACCTCTTCTACACCATAGAATCACAGAATGGTTGAGTTTGGAAGGAATCTCTGGAAATAGTCTAAGGCCAACCCCCTGCTCAAAGCAGGGTAATCTTGAGCAGGTTGCCCAGGACCACGTATAGTTAGATTTTTTAATATCTTCAGGGATGGAGACTCCACAACTTCTGTGTGCAATCTGTTCCAGTGTTTGATCGTCCTCACAGTAAAAAAAAAAAAGTTTTTGATGTTTAAATGGAATCTCCTGTATTTCAGCTTGTGCCTCTTGCCTCCTGTCCTGTCACTGTGCACTATTAAGAGCCTGGCTCCACTTTATTTATATTCCTTCATCAGATATTTATACCAATTTATGAGATTCCCCCTTAAGCCTTCATCTCTCTTTCCCTTTTTTCTCCTCATATGACAGATGCTTCAAGCCCTTAATCATCTTCTTGGCTCGTTCCTGGATGGGCAATGGGTATGTTCATGTCTCTCGTACTGGAGAGCCCAGAACTGGACACAGTGCTCCAGATGTGGCCTCACGAGTACTGAATAGAGGAGAAAGATCATCTCCCTTGACCTGGTCTTCAGGAAACTCTACTGATTGCTATGACCCTTCAAAGATAAGTGAGAGCAGCATCACAGTGATGTTGGCTAGCTCCTCAACAGTTGTGGGTGTATTCCATTAGGTGCCATGGACTTGTGTATGTCCATTTTGTATAAATATTCCCTAATCTGATCCTCCTCCACCAAGGGTAAGTCTTCCTTGCTCTGGACTTTTCCCACTGGTCACAGTGACTTGGGACTCCTGAAAGACAGTCTTACCAGTAAAGACCAAGGTGAAGAAGGCATTGAGTACCTCTGCCTGTCCTTTGTCACTGCATCCCTAGTCACATTCAGCATCAGGCCCATATTTTCCCTAATTTTCCTTTTGCTACTGATGTACTTGTAAAAGCCCTTCTTGTTGACCTTCGTGTCCCTCACCAGATTCAACTCTTGATGGACTATGTATAAGCTTATGATGTGAAGACTTATACGTTGGACCTCACATAGCAATAAAATTCAGCCACTCAGTTGTTCAGCAAAAGTACCTCCCCTGGATGGTCAAATGGAACTCTGGTATACTTTACCTTGTGAAGGACTTAACACAGTCAAGGAAGTGCTTCATTCTGGGTGAGTAGGCCACTTGGGACCATAGGTAAAATGTTAATGTATTAATATATGTATTAATTAAGCAAAAGTGGAAGGTGAATCATCTAGTTCCCCACATCAAAATACTTCTCCACTTGTGTCTATGTTTAAGACCTAAAAGGTATAACTAGGCTTAAGAGTGAGACATTAAACACCTGCCACTGTGTGAACTTTCTGGGTTGCCTCCTGCACTTAAGATATCTAATTCGTACCTACGTCTTATTCCTACCTACTCAACAATGTAGTCAACTCGAGATTTTTCTCTTGCACAGTACTTCCCAAAGCATTGTTAAAGTATTAGTTAGAATTTAAGTGAATTGGCAAAGCTGTAAAAGGAAATTTGTATGACACCTATGAGAGATTACCTGACACAGGCTACTAACAGTAGTCCCTCATTTACACTGGCAAAAAGTAGTTCGCAACAAGATTCATGACAATTCAAGATATTTCAGACAACTGGAGATAATAAAGCACAGTAACTAAATGAAAGGTATTAGACACAGACAAAAACTGTCAAGTCAAGTCATATCATATATCCCTTTGTTAACATAGAAGTTCATTTTCTATGTACGTAAATAGTTCTCAGAGATGATTATATATAAGGCCTTTACCAAGGGATTTTAGCAGATTTGCTAACAGTGTAGTTTGGATAAATAGGACATGAGATTGTTTTTACACAGATTTGTCAACACTTTGGCTACTTTTTACTTCAGTACACAGCTCATAGACACAAAACATGCCAGTTCTTAATGTTGGTTTATCAGAGAACCATATATGCAAATCAAATGAGGGTAAGGTTACTTGATATTCCATTATTCAAGAGCAGAACTCTAACAAGATTGGGCACAAAAGTGAAAAGAAAATAATGGTCTATCCATTTACTATGAAAAGAAAGAAGATGCTATAAGGCTTGTCTAAAGTACATGGATCGTTTTATATTCATTATGATTATTTTGTGTATTATATAAATGTTTGCACATAAGATTTATGTTATTTTGTTTGATTAAACATAGTATTGACAATAAATTTTGATGTGTTACCTGCAAGTTGTATCCTAAGCAAATTCTGGCTTTTATACACTTTGGATTCAGGTGAATTGCTCTCAAGAAATCTTTCTGCGCTTGTTTACAACCAGCCTCATGTCCATTTTCCATGTACGAATTTCCTCGTCCAACATAGGCATCCACAGAAACAGGATCTAGTTTGAGAACCTGGTCAAACGATCTCACAGCTTCTTTAAACTCATGAAGTCTAAAATCAGATATATTAATGTTTGCTGTTTAAAAATTGTATAAATAAAATTCTCAATTTATGAATTATCAGTAAATACTACCCCATAATGCCCCTTGAAAGTAATTCAATTCTGACTGAGAGACATTTTTTTTTTCCCCCTTAAGTTTGCTTTCTGTATGTGCTCCCTAATCGTTATAACAGTGAAGGTAGTCAGCGTAAGACCTTGCAGACTTCAGTTTTATTTCCCTGCCTTGAAGAAGAAAACAGCAAAACTCTTACTAACTTTTGCTGGGCCAAGGTTTCACCTTTTCAACAGCTGTACTCAGACAAACTTTGAGTTATTCATGCTGTCCAAATATGTCTTTGGTAGTCTGTTCAGACATAGATGTTTCAGCCATAAATAATTTACTTCTAATACAAGCTTTCTCTCTGTTTTTTGTCATACCAATTCTTGAACTTATCCAAACTATGCTAAACTTGCAGGGTAAAAAGAGACAATATTCAGGGTTCTATGCATAGACCATTCTGGCTAAGAGTAAGCCAAATATGAAACTCCATCCTTAGATAAAACTTGATGCATCTGAGGGATACTGAGTAGGAATAAAAAGGATTAAAAAACTGAAATATTAATTAATACTAGTAAGTATCTTTACACATAAAGCAAAAACTTTAACATGTCAAAGTACAAAACTGTTTTACCAAGACGATACTGAAAGATAAGATATTGTTTGAATAGAAGCTACCCATGTCTAGCTGAAGCACAGCCTGACTTCTTTACCAAAAGAGGAAAGATTAATTATATTTAGCTAATAAATAACTTTAAGGGTTGTAAACCAAAGGCTTTTTAAAAGCACAAGACTTGTTGCAAAAACAAATTAGGGCTTCATTCCCATCCTGTTGATAGGCAGTCATGAGGAAAGAGACTGCAGGATGGATCCCAAATGCATCTTAAAACAGGTTATACAGATGAGTTATATAGTTACTAGTGACTCCTTTTAACAGTTGAATACAGACATGAGCACCAAAATCATATGCTCAGTTTTCTTAGAAGCAGGATTCAGCATTCCTGTGTGAGCTGTACATCACCCGGACACTGTGAAAGATGGAGCCAGTTATGCCTTAACTACAGACATAGTAACACAAGAAGTTTTGATGATACAATCCTGAATATGTTCACCTCCACCCCACCTCAGTAACAACAAGGTTAAGCAGTGATAGATGGCAGAGTAACTGTAGAATAAAATAGATTAGACTAAACTAACAGACAGCTGTTAAAATTTCCTTTTTATCATAGCTGATATTTGTGTGAAATAGGAGCTATCAACTCCAAGTGCCAATATGATATGTAGACTGAAATACTAATGTACATCATCTTTCTTCCAATTTATATCTTTTTCAAGTGATCAACAGATGTAACTTAGTCTTTCTAAATAAATTTCATTTTGATGAAACTACACTTCAGAATTTCAAAATTAAAAATTCAGGCAAAGATAACCACTGAGGGTTTTGCTTTTCTTTAAAGGACAAAGTCCATATTTAAACAGAAATTGCATCCTAACTAATTCTGAACAAGCCAAGACAACTTTATAGATACTTCATATTCCACCTGAGGGTGTAGAATAATATCTGTTTATCCCATAATTTGTTGTTCTTCAGACCTTCTCTTGGTTCTATTTTATCATCCTAGTATTTCCTCCTGATGCTGTCACGAAAACATAGTTACCTGATACCAGAAGATTTTAATACCAGTTGTTAAACTTGAAAAATGTCTAATTTTCTTTTTTTTCATTCATCTTTACTAGTTTAGCTCCCCCAGTTCTCAGTGCAGTTGGTATGAAAAGGTGAACAGGAATATAAAGTTCAGGAATTATTTCATTTTTCTACTCTGCAAACAAAACTGCATGTCTTACCTATGATAGCAGATACCAATAGCGTGAAAGATCTGGCTATCATCTGGACTAAGTATATTTGCTTCTTTAAAGTCCTGAAAAGAACAGACAGTAAACCATGCAAATTAATATTGTTTCACTTCGCCTACAGCTGTGATTACAGCTAAACAATTTTATACTTCTATATAAAAAAAGGAGATGACTTCTGAAAAAGGCATTATACTTTCAGAAGTATTTAACAGTTTTTAACTGTTTTCATACTTCTTTTCCCAGACTTAGATAGAATAAAATCTCTGAAGTTATGTGGTACCATGGTATTTCCTACAAAACTTGAGGCAACATTTCCAGAAACAAAACTTTCTAGAAAGGTATTTTTTGTTTGTTTTTAATAGAAATACTGTACCTCGACTGCTATTATTAAATACATATATATTGAAAATATATTTTGCTATATACAATTTCGGTAGAACTCTTCCAGTAATAAAATTATCTAGTTACTTTCTGTTATTACTTTGACAAGTGTAGTAAACCAAACTCATATTTGCATTGGGAGACTATGCACAATTTTCTAGTGAAAGACATCACCGGGCTTTTGACTTTTGCCTTTTACTAACAATCAGAACATTTTTCAAAATGCTTGTGGTTTTGATGTATATGGTTCAATTGTAAAAATGGTACAGGTGCTTTAAAATCAAATACAATCATTTCAATTGTGTTTTAAGGAAGCACTTTAGGCTTCTGCATGGGAAAGCAATCAGTATGTAGTAGGAGGGATTTAGCTGATGCATCCACTGAACTACAACTTAGAAAGCATTTTTTATTTGTTCAAATTGTAAAAATAAAAAAGATGTGGAAAATTTTAGTACTGTTTGAATTACAGAATTGGTAAAATAATATGTGCATATATATATTTATATTTTGTTAAAATAAAACATCTCTTTTGGTGAACACACTATCATAAAATTATAGGTATGTTTTTAAAAAAATACTAAGACACACTGTTCCCATCCAGCAAAGAATTTTCTGTTCAACCTGCTGGTTCTGCCCTAGTCTTTTTCTACTGACCTTACATATCAATTTGTATCACCTCAGCCTCTTTTCTGACCTATTCTGATCAACTGCATCTTGAAGCATAAGACACCAATAACATAATATTTCTACTTAAACTATTTCTATGCAAGGTCCACAAACTGTAAAGAGCTTTTGTTGTGCACTTCCGATAGGACATTTCTCGATCATTGGAATGGCATTCATATTCATTCTTCATTTCCTATTGCAAATAAGAAACATTACTCAATTTTTAGAATGCCTATGCTGAAATTGTTGCTATCACATAAAGAAGATAACACATTTTAAAGTTACTAGTCCACAATGGAAGCAACAAATGCACCAGCTAGACTGAAAATAAATATGACTGCTTTTAAGGCAAGAAAAACTAAAACTTTTAGAAAATTTTAAAACTATTTAAAATGGAAAAATAAAAAACCATGTGTGTGAAAGAGTAATGTTGAACACTGTTAGGTTTCAAGCCTATATTTGTCTACCAGATGGAGTCCCACTGAATACAAGAGTCACCTGCACTGTGAGTCAGTGTCAGAAACATGTCCTATTCTCTTACATTTAAGAATGTAAGAAAATGACCTTTCCTGCTCTTCCAACAAAAATGATCATTTACATACACGCACGCACAGGAACAGAACAAACCCACTCAATCAGAACCTCCATTTGCTTAGGCTTCTATAATGAATTAGTACTCATTTGGACACAACATAAATTACTTCAAGATTAAAAAACAAGGAAAGATCAAGTTCTTGCTTATTAAATTTTGTGCAACTCCTATGTTTAACTCCAGCAGCATAAAACTGTATAACAAGTAAAACTGCATTTTATTTGCATCTTCACTGCCAGACTGGTATTAGAGAATTAAAAAAATCACAGAGTAGTTTGGGTTGGAAGGGACCTTTAAAGGTCATCTAGTCCAACTCCCACTGCAATGAGCAAGGACAGCTTCAACTAGATCAAATTGCTCAGAGCCCTGTCCAGCCCGGCCTTGAATATTTCCAGAGATGGGGCATCGACCACCTCTCTGGGCAACCCATTCCAGTGTTTCAGCGCCCTCTGAACCTACCCTCTTTTAGGCTAAAACCATTACCCCTTGTCCCCTCACAACTGCTAAAAGATTTGTCCCCATCTTTCTTATAAGCTCCATTTAAGGTGGCTGAAAGTCTGCAATAAGGTCTCCCTGGAGCCTTCTCTTCTCCAGGCTGAACAACCCCAACTCTCTCAAGTCTTTCTTCATAGGAAAGGTGTTCCATCCCTATGATCATTTTTATGGCTCTCCTCTGGACCTGCTCCAACAGGTCTATGCCTTTTCTGTGCTGAGAACTCCAGAACAGGATGCAGTACTCCAGGTGGGGTCTAACCAGATCAGAGTAGAGGGGCAGAATCATAGAATAGAATCATTGAGTTGGAAGGGACCTTAAAGATCATCTAGTTCCAACCCCCCTGCTACGGGCAGGGACAAGGACCCCCTCCACTAGACCACGTTGCCCCAAGCCTCATCCAACCTGGCCATGAACACTTCCAGGGAGGGGGCATCCACAACCTCTCTGGGCAACCTGTTCCAGTGCCTCACTGCCCTCATAGTGAAGATGATCTTCCTAACATCTAATCTAAATCTACCCTCTTTCAGTTCAAAACCATTACCCCTTGTCCTATCACTGCACTCCTTGATAAAAAGTCCCTCTCCAGTTTTCTTGTGGGCCCCTTTAGGTACTGGAAGGCTGCTCTAAGGTCTCCCTGGAGCCTTCTCTTCTCCAAGATGAACATCCCCAACTCTCTCAGCCTGTCCTCATAGGAGAGGTGCTCCAGACCTTTGATCAACTTCATGGCCCTCCTCTGGACTCGCTCCAACAGTTTAATGTCTTTCTTGTAGTGGGAACCCCAGAGCTAGTTGCAGTACTCCAGGTAGAGTCTTGCAAGAACGGAATAGAGGGGCAGAATGACCTCCCTGGACCTGCTGGTCACACCTCTTTTGATGCAGCCCAGGATACGGTTGGCTTTCTGGGTTGCAAGCGTGCACTGCCAGCTCACATTGAGCTTTTCATTCACCAACACTTCTAAGTCCTTCTCCACAGGGCTGCTCTCAATCCCTTCATCCCCCAGCCTTTATTGATACCTGACCCGGCACATGGGTCAGGGCAACCTGACCTTGTTGAAGCTCATAAGGTTCACATGGGCCAACTTCTCAAGCTTGTCCAGGTCCCTCTGGATGGCATCCCATCCCTCAGGCATGTCAATCACACTACTCAGCTTGATGTCATCTGCAAACTTGCTGGGGGTGCACTTGATCCCACTATGTTATTGATGAAGACATTGAACAGCACTGGTCTCAATACGGACCCCTGAGGGACACCATTTGTCACTGATCTCCACCTGGACATTGAGCCATTGACCACTACCCTCTGGATGCGACCATCCAACTGATTCTTTATCCACCAAACAGTCCACCCATCAAATCCATATCTCTCCAATTTAGAGAGAAGGATGTTAGGGGGGGATTGAGTCAAAGGCCATACAGAAGTCCAGACAGACAACAGCCATAGCTCTTCCATTGTCCACTGATGTAGTTACTCATCATAGAAGGCCACTAGGTTGGTTATGCAGGAATTGCCCTTGGTGAAGCCATGCTGCCTGTCTCGAATCACCTCCCTGTCCTCCACATTTCTTAACATAGCTTCTAGGAGGATCTGTTCCATGATCTTCCCAGGCACAGAGGTGAGACTGACAGGTCAGTACCATTCCCAGAGTCCTCCTTTCTACCCTTTTTAAAAATGGGTGCAATGTTTCCCTTTTTCCCCGTTACCGGGGACTGAAACCTGACTGCCTTGACTTTTCAAATATCATGGAGAGTGGCTTGGCAGCTGCATCAGCCAATTCCCTCAGAACTCTGGGATGCATCTCATCAGGTCCCATAGACTTATGTATGTTCAGGTTCCTCAGGTGGTCACGAATCTGATTGTCTCTTATAGTGGGAGGGACTTTGCTCCCCCATTCCCCATCTTGCGGTCCATCCACTCAATAGGTGTCGAGCAAATGAGAACTGGGCACAAACTATTTCAGTAGAATGTAAAAACTGCCAAGTTGGTCTTACAAGTAATGGCTTACAGTTAACAGAAAACTCTAGATTTATTCAAAGGCTTGTGTACCTCACATGCATTAGCATAATCACCAAGTTCCATGTAGAGCAGTCCACGATTAATTAACACTTTAAAAGCAATTTCCTTATTCAATTCAAGAAGAAGAAGAATTCCATAATCTTTCAAAGCCTACAAAAATATAAAATGTATTTTAAACTATCATTTATTCAGAGGGATACAATGATACTTTAACATTTAAGAGACACACTTTCAAATTCCTACAAATCATGTGCACATGTGGCTATTCTAATGTTTCACTGTTTCCAGATTGAATTTAACTGAATTTGGAGCCTTCTATAATTGCATAGCTACCCATTCCTAGAATACAGAAGCAAATATAATGAAAATGTATTAAATAAACATAATTAAAAATTATTTTGTCATTATGTAAATTTCAGAGTTAAAAATAAATTTTAACTACTTCATCTGCTAAATTTTATGTCCAAATTCTTATTGAAAAACAAACAAATTATTCCAGATGTCATTAGTCATCATTTAATGTCAAAGTAAGGTACTTTTGAAAGTAAGTATCTTCAAATATAATTTATTGTTATTGAAAAATCTAGTCATCTAATGTATTGTGAGGGACTGTTTATCAGGGAGTGTAGTGACAGGACAAGAGGTAATGGGTTTAAGCTGAAGGAGGGTCAATTTAGATTAGATGTTAGAAAGAAACTCTTTACTGTTAGAGTGGTGAGGCACTGGAACAGGTTGCCCAGAGAGGTTGTGGATGCCCCCTCCCTGGAAGTGTTCAAGGCCAGGTTGGATGAGGCTTGGGGCAATGTGGTCTAGTGGAGGGTGTCCCTGCTGATGGCAGGGGGGTTGGAACTAGATGGTCTTTAAGGTCCCTTCCAACCCAAACCATTCTATGATTAATTAAATTTGGGTGTAAATTTTGTAAAACAGTAAATAGTGACACTATTAGGTAGACTGAAGAAGCCTCAATTCTCAAATTTATCAAAACTGAACAGTATTTCCATAATGCTTGATCTGAAGAAGTTCTAGCCCAACTCTTATCACTTGAAGAATGCACTTCTATAGTATACTTAAGAATAACTAGACAGTTTAGACCTAATATGACAAAAATGTCCTTGATTGTAATATTCCATATAGTAGCCACTTAAGAGTTTTTCTTTACCCGTCTGCATCGTTCTGGCCAATTAACCTCTAAGCACAAATAGCCTTTGCCCAAGGTCAATTTGACTTGAGACATCCGAGCTCACTTAGGAACTTGCCCTGTCTCGGAAAACAGGCCTCATTAAAAAGACCATTTTTAACGTGATGCTGTTCCCAGTCTGAAGCTGCATGGTGCCTTTGGGTGCCTGTTGTGTCTTTGCTTTATAACAAAGGTAGAAAGTAGAAACACTTCAGAGGCAGGTCACAGGCAAGTTGACAGAAGTATAAACACATCCAGAAAAACAGGGCTGTGAATGAGGGTTGGATGTAGTCCAAATCCCTGTTTTGATGTACTCTTCTTCTGGATATAGTTCTTATATTTTCAAAAGAATATCAAATGCAGTTAATATGATAGTAGAGACCAAAAAGCCATATTTTTTAAACAGTTTCCTGAAGAGCACAATCATTCAGGAAGACATTGCAAGAGGTCAGAAATTTTGACTAATTTTCAATAACAGGTTACTAGCTAATATGAATACCTGAGTCCTCATGTGATGTTGAAAAAAATTAATACGTACCTTTCTGAAGTCCTTTATTTGATGATAACAGATGGCTCTGTTATAATATGCCAAAATACAGGTTTTGTTGAGGTCGATAGTTTTGGAAAGATCTTCAATTGCAGCTTTAAATGTCTGCAAATGAAGAAACACTACGTATAAGTTGTAATTCAGAGTTCATGGCACAACATATTCTTCCTCAAATAATAGCCTATTGTAAAATTTTATTTCATGGTTTTACATTTTGATTCTTAATCAGTACTGGAAGGTATCCAACCATTTCACTATGCCCTCTATGGACTACTTACTGCAGATCTTACTGCAGTGGGAGCACTTCAGAAGCTCTTTTTGTACAAAGGCTGGGCAAGCAAACATTCTTAATGTATTTTACATCACATCCATATACTGCAAAACATAATCAATCCTTAATTTTACTAGCTTACATTTTATATCTTAACCTAACATAGAAGGTATTTTTTGTGGAGTTTCAGTACTGATATCACTAGGTAAGAATCTGTGCTTTGGAACTTAAGAGGAGAATAACTAGATAGATGCTCAGTAGCTTTTCCAACCCACCAATTATTTTCAGTTATGTAGAACAACCAGAGAGTAGCTTCAATGGGGAATAGAAAGTATAATAATCAAGTGGAATTCCTGGTTTGCATCAGCAACACTTTTACCTTTATTTCACCATTCATAGAATCGTAGAATGGTTTGGGTTGGAAGGGACCTTAAAGATCATCTAGTTCCAACCCTCTAGCTACGGGCAGGGACACCCTCCACTAGACCACGTTGCCCAAAGCCTCATCCAATCTGGTCTTAAACACTTCCAGGGAGAGTGCCTCTACAACCTCTCCGGGCAACCTGTTCCAGTGCCTCACCACTCTAAGAGTACCATTATAAGAGACACCATTATAAAGTGTCTAGTAGGATTTAAGTTTTATTAGTTTTTAAGGGAGAATGCAAAAGTACAATAAATACAGTCTCACCTTATTTTGATACTTTAAAGTTCCTCGGTAAAAATAAGCTTGCACACTGTCAGGAAGAATTTTGATTGCCTCATTGCAATTCAGAATTGCCTTAGAGTATCTACCCTTACTTCCATAGTAAGCAGCACGACTCATATACGCCTGCAGAGGTGAAGACAGAATGATGATATGGTAAAAAAAAAAAGCTTTGCTTGGCATTATAAAACAAGAGTTAAATAGAAGACAGAAATTACAAATTTTATAAAAACATACATCTTACGAAGCTTGCCATTTCTTTTATTTAATGCTTGCCATCTGCTTGCTGGCAGATTACAAGGCAACACACCCATAAATGCAAAATCTCTCAGTCTTTGAAGCCATCCAAAAATGCATCACAGAAACAAACTATCAGGAGTCTTTATATTACCTGGAAATGTGATGGACAAAGGGCAAGCACTCGATTGAAATCTCGGATGCACTTAGCTTCTCTGAGCTGCATTCTACACAGCCCTCGCTGATAAAAAGCATCAGGGTAACTTGAATGTAGTCTAATAGCCATACTAAAAGCATCACGGGCCTAAAAGGATGACATATCATCTGGGTTAAATATGGACTGTTTGTACAGCTGAAACCATAGGCTGACTCTTTTGTACAGCTAGGTATGACTGATTCTTGCAGTTGGAACCATGTACCTGCATTGGTTTTTATCACTTTCATCCATTTACTGCTTCTTAAATTTTTGTAATGTTTAACACCCTAATGCAATTATTACCTGAAGGAGGCACAATCTAACTCATTTACTAATCTCATTTCTTCAGTGAGATTGCAAAAGTTTAACCAGGCACATCTCTTCTGTCTGTAAGAGCTGAACAGTGAAGTTGTTTGGGTTTTTTTTAGTAATGGACAATGGATTAACATGGCTAGTATGCAAGTCCTTTAAAATCCATCCAGACAGTTTTTTACTCTGCATTGCACATTAGCTTACAACGTCATGGGATTTTCCAGGATCTACAGCTGTAATATGAGATGTACATTGACACAGAACATCACCTTTTGCAATTTTCATGTATTACCAGAGTAGATATTTCAGACAATTTTGACAGTCTGCTTCCAAAAGAATATGATTTATGACAAATGGGGGTGGAAGTAGACAAGGCAAGAGAATTATTCTCTTCCCTGTGAAATTCTGATATTTCAAATGTTTCTAGTTTGTCTTGAGTCTTTTAAGCAAATCAACAACTGAAACATATTTACTAAAATAACATAGAAAACATTTACATGGACTCAGAGTAGGCCTGCCACAAAGCTCACTGATATGCTTTCAATAGTTTTCAACAAAGTCTCTAATACAGTTAAAAGTATTGATTTTCTTGAAAGAAGGGAAATATATTTTTCCTAGGTAATGCAGTTTATTTCTCAAGTATAAGTGCCAAAGAGAACCAGTTAGGGGTTTTATGAGCTACAGTAATATAGAAAACAGTTAACAAATTACAACCAACTCCATAATACAATATTCTAGGAATTCCTTTGTCAAAGTTTACTACCAATTTACTAAGCCACCAATAATACTACATGACTGTTGTTTAAGATGTGTGAAGACATTGATAAATAGATAAGAAAGTCATGTCGGTTTTTTATTCCATCAGAAAGGAAATTAATGACATCATACATTAAAAAATCAGAACATTAGCACTGGAAAAATTACTCACTAACTTGCAAGACAGTCTAATGTACATCTTGAGTTTAAAAAAACAGCTAAAGGCAGTAGAAGCTGTTTAAAATATTGAAATCATTCACTCAGTTATCATAGTTGTTGTTTACAAGCAGTGGAATCAAAGGCTAATATATTCTATACAATTAATACAACCTGTAATAAACTTTTTTGCTCCATGTAACACAGGCCTGTGAGATAATACATTTCTGCAGCTTCAAATGTATTAGGCAGGATTTTTGCTGAGGTCATCAGGAGCTTCATAGCGTTTTTAAAACTTCTCACAGCATCCTACAATACAAAGAATATTAATAGTTGTAAAGCACTTAAATGAACATCTGCAAGATTTGTTAGACATTTTAAATTATTTTGAAATGTTTTTCTTCTTAGTCTTTGGAACATTATGGTAAAAATGACTAGTCTAGTGTTCCTTGACGTTACTGAAGTTACACACACTCTTGATCTCTGAATGGTTCATATTAATAACTGATTAGAAAAACAAAAAAATATTCTTGAGTTTTATTTATATGTGACAAAGCAGCTCATGTACATGATCTAAAGCTATCATGCAGTTAGTTTATACTGTTATTTAGGTATGTAGTTAATTATAATCATTTATTAATTTTATTTATATTTATTTCCTCAGGAAGAAAAGGTATACCTTTTTATGAAGTCTGATGATAATGAAGTACTTGCTATAGGTTTCTTTATGTAAATAATAAACTATAGACAACTTACATAAATTTAATAACCACTAAGAAATATATGGAAAGGATCAATCCTATATATGCATTGAAGGAACTTAAGTGAATAGCCTCTCAGAATCTTACCATGTCTCACAGATCTGAGCAACAATTTATGCATATTTAATAATACTTTGATTTAAAGAAGAGTGTAAGGAAAACAGCCAAAAAATTAAGAACTGTTCAAGATAAGCCATTCCTCAGCCTTTGAGGATTATGAAGGGACCACAGTTCAAAGTTTCAATATCAACAAGAGTAAAAGAACTATAGCATTTTTTCTTAAGCGAGTCTTTCAAGATGAAGAACTATTTGTTTAGAAAAATCAGTTTGAAATACCAGTGCCCATAGGGCTGGCTGTCTGCAAATACTACACCTGCCTCCCTTGTCAAGGGAGTAAAAGTTTTAAAAACAGGTCTGCATTTACTGCTATTTAAAAATCATTTTTCTCTATCCCTACAGTTCAAAAATACTCTGAAGAGGAAAAAGAACTGTAGCTACCTGAACTCACTCACATATAATTCTAAAGGCACAGCTGATTCTCAGTGTGCTATAGCCTGAAGTCTGATCATGTTCCCAGTGTATTGTGTCATTCCTCTCCAAGAGAGGTGGCAATGCAAGTCATCACCTCTGGGTGAAGCACTCTGAGAAATCAGGGAATAACTAATACACATTCTCTCAGCCACGTCAACTGAAATGGGATGAATTGGATCACAGTCTTTAACTCAGCATTCTTTCAAAGACAGCCAAACTAGTAATATCCCATTATGGTTTGAGACAAATGAAACACCCAAGCCTAACAAAAAAACCTGAATGGATCAAGAGGTTTTATTATAATTTTTGGAAAGTGCACACCTTTAAAAAGAACCTGCAAACACGAGGCTAAGAGGAAACAGACCATGCATTTCAAACACAGAACTCAATAAACAGTAGATTCAACGTTTTACTGCTGCTGTTGTGTTTAGGGAAACAGGACTCTGTACATTTTGTATAAACAAATAGGACTGTACAAAAAGAAATAGCTAATCCATACTGCCAATTTCAACAATTCTGCAGGCCTCAAATACTGGCTAACTGCAGGTCTAAGAGGAGTGACAATATTGGTTAAACAATATGATACATGAATATTCACAAAGCTGGGAATATACCTGTAATTATAGATTATATATTCAGTTCACATATATGAATTAAACTTTTGTACTGAATTTTATTAGACAAAAAATGCTAGACACACTTCTGCATTATTTTATTTCAAAAGCAGCAAAATTATGACATATAATGCACCTCAATCTACATAATTGTATCTTTCAATTTATCATCTTAAATGTTTTAAAATTAAAATGGCCTAATTTATGCTGAACTATTAGTGCTGTTGAAAATTCTTAGTCGGGTCTTCTTTTAATTTAAACAATGAGGTACTCTGAAGGTTTATTTATATAGTAGCACATTTCATAAAATATTAAAAGAATACAGAAAGAAAAACACTGTCTGGCTTGGCATGTATATAACGTAAATTTTTCTAACCTTAGTTTTCTTGGCTTTCATTTGTATTTTTCCTAAAATAACAAACATTGCAGGCTCAGGCTGAGTTGCAGTAGCTTCTTGTAAGCACTCTATGGCCTTACTGTGATTTTGACAAAATGACTGAATGAGCCCTTGCTGAACAGGCTGAGATGTAAAGGATTCTGGAAGGAAACCACCATGAAAAACAATGTCTTTTACATCAACCTTTATGTTTTACAGTGTAAAAACCTTTAAGTTATATGCAAACTTTAAAATGCTATTAAAATATTTGGAGTATCACAGCTTGTTTTAACATCCATAAAAATATAAGTGTAAACTAAATTGCTACAAAAGTCTGAGATTGAACAGTTATTTATCAGTGAATGTAGTTTGATTGCTAAACATCTGCAAATATTCACCTCTTTCTCCACATATCTAAGGCTTTGCTCTGCAGAAGTATCACCATATGTCTGCTTTGTTTGTTTTTTGTAGTCTTGTGCCCTGTGTATCCATCCACTCTTGGTCACTACCAGAGACAGGAAATGCATCTCTATCGTATGGCTATTCATATGAATTCACCAAGAGCTTCAGGACGCACTGAACACTGCCCCACACATAACAAGGAACTACTATACTGCAAGATTTTTACTGTTCAAATGCATTGGGAAGGTTCAGTTCTAAAGCTATTTGATATTTGTTAGGAAAGACTGCACATAAGTACACAACAGAATCCTTACTCACTATTCCTTTAAACCAGAAATTACCAATATCGAAGGTAGAAATAAAAAAAAAAGAACTCAAAAGATAAAGGAAATTCTGAAATCACAAGTGATATTACAAGCAATAGCGTACTCTGTTATCTTTGAAGGCTTCAGACCTGCAAACAAAATAGATAGTATGTTCCTATATTTTAGCTGAGTCATGATAACTAACTTATTTGCAAGCTTGAACTTTTTTTTTTTTTTAACAATTCCTTGGTTACAAACTGTTGCCATGGTTCACAAATATCTAGGAAAATTGATGGAAATTGATGTTACCTTCATCCATTTGTGCAAGTTGGTAAATACATAAACTTGCTAGCTCATATTTCTTCAACTCCATTAAATACTGTCCCCTGTAATGAAATATTCGTTGGATGTAATTAGTAAAACTATTTCAGGCATTTCTTTCAAAGTGCAAATACTACTGAAATATGTTTTCATTAGTATAAAAAGAGAAAAAGGAAAAATAATGCCTTCCAATAAAAACATCCAAAGTTTTGGGTTTTTTTTCATCAGAAGTATCTGTTGATTTTTTTTCTTCTCTCATATCACAGTACCAAGAAATTTTATGCTTACTTCTCTTCAGATTGTAGGAGTTACAAAAATACATTTGGATTCCACAGGTAGCAATCCTTACAATCTCAAGAACTGCAACAATAATCTTAATAATACTGTCTCTAAAATCTACCACAGACTGATAGCTGATGATAGATACATTTGTTTCTAATGGTAATATTTTGCCTCTTCACATATCGGCATCAGTATAAGAGGTCAAACCACATGGAGACAAGCTGAGTAAACCAACCCTTAAAACTGGTAAAATACAGTATTACTGGCTGGAACATAGTAACTAATTCTCCTAATACACCTGCGGAATATTATCCTAGCATGTCCTCCTTAGATCTTACAGCTTGTCAGAGGAGGAAACAGCTTTATCTAGTAATCTATTTTTTAGTCCGGATAAAGGTCACCACTTCTCACTGGGCTGAAGATGGGGAAGAAGAATAGTTCAAATCTAAATTGGCCTGGACTCATTCCTTCACATTCTTTGCATTATGGAATCACAGAATTTTTAAGGTTGGAAAAGACCTCCAAGATCATCAAGTCCAACCATCAACCCAACACCACTATGTCTACTAAACCATGTCCCGAAGTATCACATCATCACGTTTTTTGAACACCTCCAGGGACGGTGACCCCACCACCTCTCTGGGCAGCCTGTTCCAATGCCTGACCACTCTCTCAGCAAAGAAATTTTTCCTAATATCTAATCTAAACCTCCCCTGACGCAATTTGAGATGATTTATGTGGATTATAAATGTGGATTCTGCAGATAAATCCACTTGGGGAAAACATTTAAAACTATTAATTTTTTAAAAGTTCAGACTTGCTTTTTTTGTCCCAGCACCTATTTACTTCTTTTTTCCCAGAAATTATATATACCTCAAAGAGCAGAATCCTGTATATGAAACAAGGTTCCTCCCTCCAAGGTAACCGTTACAATAGTTGGGTGACACTATGCAGGTAAAGTTCTTCATGTTTGAAAATGCTATGAAAATACTACATTTTTAAAATCCATTCAGAGCAGGTTTCAAAGAATACAAGGGTATCTACCAACAGCATTCCAAATGGACTTTTTTTTTTTTTAAACTGAGATATCTATGAAGTTCTTGACTAATCGCTTTCCTACCTTAATATGCAAAGTTGTGATTTATTTGGATAAAGATGAATGGCTCTGCTTATATCCTTCAGAGCATTTGGTAAATTATTAATCTGTAATTTACAAAGAAAAAAACAGCAATTTAATTGCTAATATGAACACAATTTGGAGACAATTACTATTTCTGTAAATGTGATTCTGCAGGATGTAATGCCCACATGGTAACAACTCACAAGGAACATACACCTACTGTAAAGGAGCTCAATGTTTTTAATAAAGGTCTGAAACATTTATCCTACATATTTTCATACTATCCTACAGGGCAGATCCAAACTCCAGACAGTTTCTCTACTTTTCCAAAATCCAAAGAGTCTGGACTATTGGGAAGGAGACTAGGTCGTGACATTCACATGCACATGTCCTAATGAATCTTCATTGCTGTAATGAATTTGCACTTATTTTTCAAATGTCTGTGCATGTGGTCCTATTTACTGTGCTTCAGATGCTGACGAGAAAGGAGATCATTATAATGAAGATCCCAAGGACTCGTTCATCCTGCTGGCATAGCTGCTAACTGGAATTCCCATTAAAGAACAGCATTGATGGAATGCATGTACTTTATTTTACTGCTTTACACTGAAATTAAAAAAAAAGTAAAAAAACCCCACCCCCAAAAAAAACAACCAAAAAAAACCACCCTGCAAAAGCAACTGGAGCATTAGTAGATGATCTCAAATATATACTATCAGGCACAAGTTCTTAAAAACAGTATAAAAAAAAAAAATTAACAGTGTAAGCAATTTCTCAAAACATTTTGAAAACAAACTAAGCACTGAGACACAATAGTTGTTTGAATACTGCCAATGAAGTCTACAGAAATTAGGTCACATGGAATACTCAATTCCTTGTACTCCTGAGAGGGTCTCAAAAAAACAACTACTAACAGAAACTATTCTCAAATCCCATGCAAAAGTAAAAAACATTGTTTCAGAGTAAATTAATATATTGAAAATGTTTTCACTTCCATTTTAAAGCTCAGATTAGATGTACACTGATGTAGAAAAGATAAAATGACACTTGAAATATTTTGTGTCATTGCATTACATGCCAACAATATTATACAATTGCAATGTATGTAGTTCTATTACTTGAAACATAGAGCTATAAGCAGGTTCTAACATCTGTGTAACATCAAGGCATAAGTATTAAAATAGTCACAATCATAAATATAAATAAACATGTATTAAGTGGCAAACAAAAGCAAAAAGAATGTATTACCTTCTGATATGCTTGCGCTCTGCATACATAGGCTCGAACATTGAGAGGATCAATTCCAATGGCATTAGTAAACTGTTGAATAGCTTCATAGTATTGATTGAGGTGCAACAGCAGTATCAAACCAATATTTAGGTAAGCAAAGATGACAGAGCTAAAACCAGAAAATGTATTTCCTTTTGCTATTGTACGAAATATGTCAGTGTATTAACCACAACATACACAGCCTTCATCTACTGCTATGATATTTACCACATATCTATTTTGTGATCACACTGAACTAAAGAATTGTAATTGCCAGCAGAGGAGATGATAGCTCATTAAAAAAAAAATCACCATTTCAGTAGCTTGTGATGTTTGACTGCACACTAGAGGCTCTCTGATCACCAAAACCAGCACTCCAAATGCTAATTGTGAGGAAATGATGACAACCATCTGTTATAGAAGCTGGACTAGAAATAGAGCTAGCTGATAATATTGTATATACTGAATACTCCAAGAAATACTTAATTCTTGAACACAAAAAACACATTGTAGTTTTTAAAAAAGGACAAAGCTTACATGTTTTCCATCTAGCCTGGTCCCTTATTTTCTGTCATTTCACTTGGCTAGCTGCTAGGGAGACCTGGATTTCCAAGATCTGCAACATCTTGTGCAGTCCACTCTTACAGACTGTTTCTAGGCAAAGTTCAAGACTCCTTATAGCAGAGCCAAGACAAAGGAAGAGCTGAGGGGTCTTTAGGCCTACCACAGATTGGAATGGAAGCCTTTGCTCAAGACAGGACTGTTGAGGTTGCCCAAGGCTGAACAAGAACTCAATTCCTTTAGAGTAAGATAATTCATAGAATCTTTAAGGTTGGAAAAGGCCTCTAAGATCATCAAGTTCAACCGTCAACCCAACACCACCATGTCTACTAAACCATGTACTGAAGTGCTACGTCTACATGTTTTTTGAACACAAAATTAATGCAGTTAACTGGTATGGGAGGCTTGTTGCATATTTTAAGACCATTTGCACGGCAGGGCTGCTGCAGATATAATTGGTTTCTGATGTATTTTTAAGTGGTAGGAAAAAATGCAATTCAGAAGAACCACATCAGCTTCAGTCACCAAATAACTCTATTTTATTTTACTTTCTTTCAGGGATACCATCTACTGGCTTTTGCTAAAGAAATTATGGTAGCATTTTATTTGGGGAAAAAAAATAGTTTAACTTTTTACCTGCATTGTGGACAGATTCCCTCCCAAAAGACCAATGGAATTATTATGGCATGAGTAGTCAACTTTAATTAGGACTTGAGTTTCATCTTTTGTCTGCCTACCCTGAATAATTTATTTGCCAAGTTGCCATGTAAGACAAAACAAAATTTCATTTTTAATTTCATTTTACATTAATAATTATTTTTATTACACTCAGACTATAGTAAATGAGGAAAAAGATACTAAAAGAAGATAACATGGTTTTGTGTGGTTTAATTCCAGTCTATTTGCTGAATAACAGTTCTGATTCCACTTCCCTTTATTAGTACTTGTATGCTACCAGGTAATCAGAATATAAACAAAATACATTAAAATTCTCAAGTCAAATCACCTGTCCAAAGCTAAGACACTTTCAAAGTCACAGATTGCAAGTGACCATTGACACTGTTCTGAGTAAACGATCCCACGATGAAGAAAAGAACAGAAATTTTCCTGAGTGTCATTGATGAGTACTGTAGGAGAGGGAAAATACAAATCAACTGTTCAGATATTGACATATATTTCACTTATTCCATGCAACTTATTTGCACATTACTGTTTAGTTTCTTAGAGTTTTATAAAATATCATAAACTATAACATAACATACTAGATCATAAGAGAAACTGTTCATGTGGCACAAAATACCTTCAAGACATTTAGATTTCTCAATTACATCCACTCAAATTGTTAAAAGTGAATTAGAAAAGCTTAGGAAGCAGAGGCAAAATAACTGAAGAATAGCAACAGCAGCAAGAGAAATGTCTAATAGCAAACTTAATAGAAATGAAAAGGAGTAAGTTATTACCAAACACTGAATGACATATTTGCAACATGAAATATCTGTGTTATATTGCAGTATAGTGATTACTGGTGAACGGTCATTCATCTTTTTAATGATAAACATATACACCATTAAAAGAAACAAACAATACCAGAAACACTGAAGTCCTGCACAGCTCTTTTTGGGTCAATCTGTCGCAGTATGCAACCTCTATAATAGAATGCTAACCAACAAGAAGGGTCTAGATGAACTGCCGCTGCTAAGTCTTGTATTGCATTTCTATACTGCTGCTGCTTCGCATACACTCTTCCTCGATAGAGCCTAAAAAGGAAGAAAATTTTTCTTTAAATATAATTTCCCTTAGAAAATTATACCTACTGCACTTGCACAAATCAAGTTCAATATAATAGAACCATGTATTAGCTTTGGGAATCACAGAGTTTAGTGGAACTCTCTTCAAGGTCATCCATAGCCTATTGGTACAGCAGTTTCTGTATGGGAAATACCAAATTTTGTTAAATCTGATTTAAAAGAAAAAATTTAAAACTGCTCCTATTACTATTAAAGTTTTCTGAAAACATCCATCCTATTCTTCAATATTTCTTTCAGACAAGTTTACAAAATCAGATCCTACTATTTTACACTATTCTACCCTCAAATTCAGGAAGCTAGCAATACATTTAAACAAGATAAATCATAAGCACAGGTAAAAAGTGTGATTAGACAACAATGGCTGTAAAATTATCTAATCAATGCAAAATGTAATATATAAAACATTTTTCTATTACTGAAGATAGCTTTAAGATTAAGCAGGTCTTACCATTCCACTTCTATGCAGAATTATGCAAAATATTTGAGACTCCTTTTTAAAACTTACACAGTAAAGTCAGTTAGTTCCTCAAGAATTTAAATCACGTGCTTAGCTCGACACAAACACAAGGCACTGATACTAATCATACCCACAGAGCCCATGCATCAACACGTGAGCCTCAATGAACTAGTGAATTTCAGGAAGCCAAATGCAGTTTTATGTTGCTTCAAGTTTTTATTTCAAAGTCAGAGTTTTAAGGAGCATCTGCAAATTACTTTAGTAGCATAGGAATCTAAAGTCATAAGAAAGCTTTGCATGATTCTGTGGTTCCCTGTGATGAAGGACATGGACTGACAGGTAGAAGATACACATAGGGCAATCCTTTCCCAGCCATTTCTAACCATTCCAGCATAAGACATCTGAACTTAGATGTCTATTTGTAGATGTCTACAACATATGTTAGGTGTCTGACTTTCCATTACAGTTGATGAAGATCTAGTCAACATAGTCCAAGGACATGGGAGCAATTCAGTTCATCTAAAAATATACACTTACTGGCTCTTTAGCTGAACAGCTGTCAGGCTTTATAGACGAGTCTATATTCAGCCTACCTAGAGTCTACTAGCTGTCTTCATTAGATTGTTCTTGGTGACAATGGCTGCTCAGACACTTACATCCCATGGATACAGCAAGCTGACACCTAAATTCAGATATCATACTTTGGTATTGAATATCTGCTTTTATTTTTATTTTACATCTGTTTTCATGATTCCAGAATAGAGTATAAAAAGAATGTAAATCTTTGCAGGAATGATATTAAAAACAAGTCACATTTTCTAGTAGGGAAATCATATACATTTTTTTCAGTCTTTGTAAGTCAAACCTCAAAATCATCATTATAATTCCAAAATGAAGATGCTTCTCATTCATAATTCAAAATTTCACAGAAAATATTAATTCAGCATATTGCTAAAACTAGAGGTGTCAAGGCAACCAATGGGAATTAGGCATAGAACTATGTAATCCTTAAGGACAGTCTTCATTTTGAGCATGTATTTAAATCCAGCTCTTTAGAGCAAAGCACACATGCATGTGCTTAAGTCCAACTGACTATGTATTTGCATTACTCCAGCGGGATCTAAGCACATGGTTCTGTGCTTAGCTAAATTAAGGTCTAGGGACTAATCCAAAGTCATTAAAGCAATACAAAGATTCCCCAATGAATATCATGGCCTAGAAGTTGTCTTCTATTTCTATTAGACACCTCTTTGGAAATGCAATTTCTTTATTATTGTTTAATGCATATTCAGTCTTTCACATATTAATACTATTTTAATAATCCACGTAGAATTCAAATACTTTTGTCAAACTACCTCGCCTGAGCATTGCTGGGGTCTTCCTTGATCACAGCTGTAAAATCCTGAATAGCTATAGTCAAAACTGAATGGTCAAAGAAATGTATTCCATGTTTCATAAGTGCATCTGTTCTTTTTGGGTTATACTGAAAACACTATAATGAAAAAAAATAAGTACATTATGTTATTCCTCATTCTTATTTCTAATGATTAAAAGTCTTAACCAGCATAAAAAGAACATATTCTTTTATTCTCAGACATTCTTTTTTATTCCTTTGTCCTCTATTGTCTATTATCATTTCCATTAACTGTAAAGTGAAATAAAATGTGATGCAAGCTCATTAATGGCTGATAATTTGTAGACATTCAAATTAATTTACTGAATGAGCCAGCAGGAGTAACAGAAATTACTTATTTATTTCCATAGCACTTATTTTTTTTAAACATCATTTATTTGATAGTATATCTGTTCTACAAACTTTTTTGAAAGGATATCTGTTCTACAAGCTACTTAACAGATATATCCAAATACTGTTTACTTTTATTAAAGTTACACAGAAGTTACTACATTATCATAACAATACAAAAAAGTGAACTTACTTTGGCGTAATCATCCATGGCCAATAATAATTGATTTTCTTCAAAATACAACTCAGCTCTCCTAAAATAAATGTCATCATCTGTAGGACTGCATTGTATTGCAGAGCTATAATTGAGGATTGCCAATGCATTATCACCCTGTTTTCTGTAAATTTCAGCCCTTGACAGGTATGTATCTGAAACAACCACCCAAAATATAAAAGGCACTATTTAGCAGCAAAATAATAAGTCATCTCCTCCTTACAGGGTAATTAACACAAGCAGTAGAAATAGAACAGTAGATTATACAAAGGTCAGGAAGTCCTCAAAACTCAAAAGTGTAAAGCTACAGCTGTGTGCTCAACCATGGAGCCCATGCAGCTGTAAACTGGTAGCTCTTGCAGGATTCACAGGTACTAAAAATCTTTGCTCACTGTAGAGCTCTATAGAAATGGCCCATCAAGCCATTTAGTGTAGACCTGTTGATCACAAACAAATATGAAGAGATTTAGTTTAAATGGGCCCACACATTATTTATCCCATTGCATTGGGTCTGGTCAGGATAAAGTTAACTTTATTTTTAACTCCAAGTATTGCTGAACAATGCTTGCACAGTATCAAGGCTTTATTTCTTATTTTTCTTTTCCCCCTATGCGCTCTCCCCAGCCAGTAGGCTGGGGCTGGGCAAGAAGCTGGGAAAGGACACAGCTGGGACAGCTGACTTCAGTAGGCCAAAGGGATATTCCATACCATATAACGTCGTGGCCAGCAACAAAAAACTAATGGTAGAGGAAGAAGTGGGGGGAGGTCTTCCAAGTCCATGTCCAATTAAAATTTCCTTTGTTGCAGCCTGTGACCATTGCCTCCTGTTTTGCTGTGCATCTCTCAAAAGAGTCTGACTCTGTCCTCTCTGTTACCACCCATTATGTAGCTGAGAAGAGATTTCCCTCTTAGCCATACTTTCTCCAGGCTAAGTAACTCATCTCCCTCAGCCTTTCCTTATACAACTTTGGCTACCTGAGACCATCTTAATGGCTTTCCAATGGACTGTCTCCAGCTTGTCTCTCATACCAGGGGTTCCAAAACTGGACAAAGTATTGGAGGTGCAGCACAACAACGTGGCAGAGGGGAATCACTTCCTCTGACCTGCAGGGCCTGGTCTGTCAGCCAGAGGTGGTATCTTTCCCTTTTAACCTCCTCCTTCCCAGTTTAAAGGGTACAGCAGAACAGGGCTGACAAGCACAAGAGCACACTGTCTCCATTACAGGATTGTTATCAGCTTTCACTGTTAAATTAATGGATACAATTTCCATCAGCCCTCCTTTTTTTTTTTTTTTGCATTTTTTAAGAACACACTAAAACTAAGTTCTTATTCTCACTTTAAAAAACCAGCTTCTGTCCCAAGCCTTTGAAGATTCATGTTTGCTTTAAAATATTTTTTGTAATAAGGATAAAACAACTGATACAAGGTTAAATACATACAGAAATATTTGCAGAACTAAGGCCAAAGGCAACTAGAGAAAAAACACTATGAAAAATTAAACTGTTAAGTTACACTTCAATGATACTTACCTGCTTTATTTTTGCTCCATTTAGTTATAAAATTTAGGTCATCCAAAGCAGCAGAAATTCTGTCTTGAAAGAGGTAAATCAAATGTCTATGCCAGTAAGCATTAAGCAGCAGTGGTTCTAAGCTTATAGCCTATAAACAAAATAAGTAAATAATTTATATTGCAGAAGGAACTTCTCAACTGTGCTAATAATAGTACATAGGAAATAAGAACATTTTTGCACTGAAATGATTATTATATTTTTAAGAAAATTCCTACATTGACAAACTTTTACTTAACCAAGAAATCTGAAAAATTTGACTAGTGTTACTTGTTTACCTAAAAGCATTGTGTACTTACACGTATGCAGAATCAGAGTCCAAGCTACCAGAATATAGTCTGTAAACTATTTCTAGGATCCATAAACTACACAGGAATTGTGTTCATATGTCTTAAAGAGAAAAGTCAGTAATGTTTTCACTAAAATATGCAATAGGAATGGCAAGCAATTTTGACAGTTGATATCAGCCCATTGGTCAAAGGGCCACAGTTCCAGGGTGTGGGATTTTTAGCCTTTCAGATCCTTTATGGTCTGTTTCTAAAGTCTGGGGTGAATAAAAAAGATACAAGATAATCATTGAGTTTCTACGAATATAGTCAATTTTCTGGTCAGATAATTTATGAAGTTTGGAAGGTAATATGTACAGACTGCAGGTACATAAAATAGGTGCCTATGTCCCATTAAAATTTAAAAAAAAAAATATTTATCTCCAAGAGAAGCATTAACAGAAATGGTGTTAGAAAAGGAAATTTCACCCTAAGAAAATATGCATTTTGGGAAAGGCACACTCTAGAAAGAGAGTAAAATCTTTAGGGTGGATCTTACTGTAGGACACACTGTGAGCATCCTTAAAATTTATTGCAGCTTGAGACTGTTAGCTGAAAGGAATGCAGAAACCAACAAGAAGCCAAGCTGGTTTGTACTTCATTGTTTCATTCCTCTGCACATTTCCAAATACTCCAACTGAGCTTTGCATTTTAGCAAAAGAAACACTATTTACATTATTTAAAGATGCCTGGTTAGATTGTTTTCAGGGACAGTGGCAGATTGATGGTGTTCTACTCATACAGAGCACTATCAACACAAAAGATCTGGTTCAATTCTGCATTATCAAGCACTCCAGTACAAGGATCATGAACCCCAAAGCAGCTGCTGAGGAATACTTCTCCAAACACCACATGCTGTGTTAAGAGCCAAGATGTTGGTTAAGTAAAGGAGGACATCTTTTTCTATACAACGTTACACATAGGATGAAGTACTTTGGGGTCCCAAACTGGTTATGACTAGCTGTGTGTAATATAGATGTTAAATGACAATGAAAATACCATACCGAAAGTACAATGCATGATTCCTCCACCCAGTTTTCACAATCGTACAAAACTCTACCATTGTTTAAAGAATGGCTTTGAAAGCATTTACAGCTTCCACATTTATATTATAGAGTTTAAAAATATTCTTTTCTTTTTTTTCAGTAATGTTTATATTCTATTTTGGTTGTTTCTTTCTAGTTGTGCAGGGTCTTGGGCAGAAGTAATGGCAGGTTTGTAGCACTTTTACAGTGCTACAAGTTCCCTTTATGGGAACTTAAAAGTGTTGAAAAAATAAACATACATAGAAAAACACTAGTATTATTGTATAAAATGGTTTATACAAAAAGATGGTTTAATTATAAACAAAAAGATGGTTTAATTATAAACAGGAAATACATGACTTTTCAATTTATTTGCTTACTGTGCTTTTGCAGAAATTAAAAATATATTTGCCAGCTTTGCCAGCAGCAAAACTTTAAGCAAAAGACTTTCTGTCCTTTTTGTCTATCCTATCTCCAACTCCACTTAGGAGTGTTGTATCCTGGGCAATGGTCTCCAAAGAAACATTATGGTGCTTGGACAACACTATGGTAAATAAACACAGTTTATTAAGAGTCTGCATCTTCATTCTAGCAGGACTAAACTTGGATCATGCTGTCTTACAAAGGTAAAAGGTGGCAGTGTTCAGCTAGTTATCGGCTCTCCTGCTTCTAATTCTTCACCTGTTGAAGAACTCAGATGCTTAGCCAAAAAAAAAAAAAAAAAAAAAAAAGATGCTTGATAGAAGTAAAACATGGCATTAAACTTACTTTTTCCAAGTCATCCATAGCTGACTTTAACTTGCCTAACTTTCTTTGTATTGCTCCACGCCTGCAGTAGTGAAAAGCTGAA